AAGCTTAGGCAACCCTCGAACTAAATCACCTTGAATTAGCCGTTGCAAAACACTCATACTAGCATGTCCTAGTCTCCTATGCCATAACCAACTATCATGTTCATCCTTAGCAACTAGGCACAAATTAGCCATATCAATAGAATCTATATGCACCATGTAAATGTTTCCTATTCTATGACCAACAAGCATAATCCGATTAGATGCAATGTCAATAACTTTACAACCATTAATTTCAAACAAGACATTGAATCCCTTATCGCATAATTGACTAATACTCAATAGATTATGCTTTAATCCATTCACATATAAAACATTTTTAATTTGTATGGAAGAGGTATTACCTATTGTACCAATACCTTCAATGTGACCTTTTGAATTATCACCAAAAGTCACTTCTCCTCCATTTTTGACGTTAAGCTCAATGAACCGGCTTTTGTCTCAGGTCATATGTCTTGAGCATCCACTATCAAGGTACCATGAATTTGAATTTGTTTCCCGTGCCTTGTAGCAATGCTCCTTTCCCTACAAACATAGATTAATTTTTGATTTTTGGTACTCAAATTCTTTTGGGTCCATATTCATTAGTTTCCAAAATCCTAGTCCCCTTAGGTATCCATTTGTGTAGGATATCTTTGTCTTTAGTAGTAATGAGTCCTTTAGGAACCCATATACTTCTAAAGATTTTACCATTTAAGGTTCGTTGAGGATATCTATGATTGTAGTTTCTAAAATCTTTTCTAACAAAGTTGGATTTTGAATTTCCTCCTTTTTCAAAACGTTTTGTTCCAACTTTATAAAAAGAAGTTTTAAGATCATCAATTTTCTTTTGATGATCATCATTGACCTTTGAAAGTAAATTTTGCAAATCTAAATTTTTCTTTTCAAACTCTTCTAGTTTGATTTGCAAATCTTTGATTTTACTTTCAAGATCATTGTTGGTTTTGGATATGAGTTTATTTTCATTTTTCAACTTTGAAACATCATTTTATATTTTAAAATAATTTCTCATAATCCGAAGCCAACCCATTATATTCCTCTAATAGCTCATCATAAGATAAATCATCAAAATCAGATGAGTTAGAGGTTACCTTAGAATCTTCCCCAAATGTCATTAAGCACAAGTTCGCTACTTCTTGTTCTTCTTCATCGGAACCTTCTTCATCGCTCCATGTAGCCACATGAGCCTTGTGCTTATTCTTTGATTGACCCTTCTTCTTTAATTGTGGGCAATCATATTTGACATGCCCTGGCTTTTTGCATTCATAGCAAATGATCGGGTCCTTCTCTTTTGGTTCATCTTTGAGGCCTTCATTTCGTTTGAATTTTCTTCCTCGGTAAGGTCTCATCATTTTTCTGAACCGTTTGGCAAACAATGCCATTTCCTCGTCATCATCATCATCATCATTAGAATCACTCTCATCTTTTGTGGATTTGAGAGCAACTCCAATGTTTTTCTTCTTCTCCTTCTCCTTTGGTGTCTCTTCAACTTTATCAAGGTCCACCTCATCTTCAAGCATCATCTCATGAGTGAGGAGTGAACCGATAAGTTCTTCAAGAGTTAAGGACGATAGGTCCTTAGACTCGATGATTGCCGTCTTCTTTGATTGCCATGATTTTGGGAGGGAGTAGACTAACTTCCTCACAAGCTTTTCATTTGAGATGATCTCTCCATATGATTTGAGACCATTGACAATCGTTGAAAATCTATTCGTCATAGCTTTGATGTCTTCATTTGGTTTCATCCTGAAATTTTCATAGCTATGCGTTAGAATACTAATTTTTGATTTCTTTACCTCATCGGTACCTTCATGTGTGACTTGAAGCTTGTCCCATATTTCTTTGGCGGTTGTACACAATGAAACTCTTCCGTATTCATCTGGTCCAAGAGCACAAAAGATAATATGGATGGCTTTGGAGTTGAGCTGGAACATTTTTGTATCTCCTTCACTCCACAACCTTGGATGAGTGATAGGCTTAATGTATCATTCTTCTACGGCATTCCATGCTCCCATGTCACTTGCTTGAATGAAGTACATCATTCTATTCTTCCAATAGGCGTAGTTAGCTCCATTGAAGAAAAGAGGCTTGTTGACGGGCATCGAATCGAGACCGGAGTCGAAGTTTGAAGCGGAGGCCATTGATGACTTTAATAATCGATATAACTCTTCCCGAATCGACTCAAGAGGCGATAAAACCTTCAAATGAGTTAGGCTCTGATACCAATTGTTGAGTTAATCGAATGACGAAATTGGCCAAGATGGGGTGAATTGGCAATAAAAAATTTGTGGAAGCTTTTGCAGAAAATTGAAAGTAATTGCACAGCGATTTACAGTGGTTCGACTTTCTCAAACAAAGTCTACGTCCACTACCTTAGCTATCCACACTAAGGATTTTCCAACAAATTCACTAATTTGTTCTTTCTTTTGAGGCCAAAAGAGATAACCTTACAATTCCCTCAAGAGTATACCCCAACTCTTGAGAACACTCTTTTCTCAAAGAGAATATTACAAATTTGCAAACTTACAAGAAAACCTCACAAGGTAAGATGTTTGCACAATTCTAGAACAAAGAAAAGAACACTCAAAGATGAATACAATTGAGCACAAAAAGTGTTCTTTGAAAGCAAAATGAATATTGAATGAAAATAGGCTTGAAATGCTCAAACTTGAGGTTTGATGCTTTCTCTTTGATTCTCTCTTGATTCTAGTTGCTTGATGTTTCTTGTTATTGATCAATGGCTTCTAAGCTTGCTTAAATACACCTTGGATCACTTCTGAACGTTGGGGATGATAAGAGAAGATATTATAGCCGTTTTAGTGTGAAAACATTTAATAAAACAGCTTGGAGCGTGGGGGGAATCGGTTCCTCCTCATAGGGAATCGGTTCCCTAAGTGTAAAATTCAAATATTTCGACCGTTGAACAGAGGGCAATCGGTACCCCCTTGGGGGGAATCGGTTCCCTCCGAGCATACTGGAATTCTCGGAACAAAAACTGTTTAGGGGGGAATCGGTTCCTCCTATGGGGGGAATCGGTTCCCTCCGAGCATTCTGGAAATCTCGGAGCCAAACCATTCAGGGGGGAATCGGTTCCTCCTATGGGGGGAATCGGTTCCCTCTGAGCAATCTGGAATTTTTGGCTTTAAATTGGTTCGAAATACTTTGTAAAATTATTTTGAAATTGTTTTATGATTAAAACTTAATTTTACACTTAAGTAAGGATTAAAAATGATTTTTGAAATATTTGGAGTAATGTTTTTGATATTCGAATAGTTATATCGAATATACTTAGAAAATCATTTGGAAAATCTTAAAATCCATTTAACTTGATTTGTTATATCGAAATATCAAAATGTTTCAACAATATTCCATTAACTATAATTTAAAATATTTGATTACATAAATTAAAATTAATAAAAACATATCCTCCAATCATGTATTGACATGTGTTACTAACGATATGTGTCATATTCATGTGCTGACACATGTCAAATCCTGATTAAATGGTTAGTTTATTACATTAAATTTAAATTAGAGCAAAATTGAGAGAATATATAAATATTAAAGACTAAATATATAAATATATATAAATTCTTTTAACAATCACGTCAATATTTTCATAAAATATTAATGGTAAGTGGTCTGACTGACCAAATTAAATAGTTAAGTGGTGTTCTACACCAAATTGAAAGGTCAGTGACAAAAATAAAAAGACTAAATAGTTAAGTGATCAATTGTATAGTTTACCCTAAATTTTAAATATTTTTTATTAAGTTAAGATAATTACAAAGTAGTATTTGTTTTAAATATTCTTAACCATTTGAGAATAAATGCTCAATCACCCTGCTACATCTGTTGGTGCTCGAACCCGTGACATCTAGGAACAACAACGATTCCTTTAACCACCGAGATAAGTTGGTTCGTGCTAAATTTTAAATATAATCATACTTAAAGAGAAGCAGTATCAATGACTCTACGAGAATGATGGAGACTACTTTAAATGAACTTAAAACACATGATATTAGAGGTGAGCAAAATTTTACTCTACTCGAAAGATTGATTTTTCGATTCGACCAGATTCTAAAAACTTGACTTAAATTGACTTCAAGTTGTAATCTCATAAACTCGATTAAAAAAATTTCAAGTTCCAATCGAGTTCTCAAATACGACTCGAATAACTCAAAATTTTTAGTAATCAGTTAATTGATTTTTAAGTTTGTATTTCACATATGATTCTGTACGATATATGTATATCACATATGAAAACAATATGAAGAAATATATATATGTATTACATATGGTTATAAAAATCATTTAAATTGGAATCAAATAACATTATAACATTATCAATATTTGTGGTTAAATATAAATAAAAATTTAAAAATTTGACTTAACTTGTCTCGAATCTTATAAACTCAATCCGACTCGAAAAAATTTCAAATCAACTTCGAATTATAAAATAAAACTTATCAACTCGAATAACTAAAAGTTTGTTACTCTATTTGGTTTGACTTAATCGAACACTCATTCTTATATGATATAAGAAAATACGAAGAAACAAAGATTAGATAGGGATATTATTTTGTTTTAGATACATATTTATTTCCTTTTAAAGTAGATTCCCGCCGTCCATAATCTGTAGCTCTTTTGTTACTAACTACTCATAATTATCATCTTCTGATATAAATTAACAGAAAAGCAAAAAAAAAACAACAATTTATAGAGAGGGAAAAGAAAAAACAAATTGTTGTTTATAAGAAAAATAGAATCAACCTGTAAGGACCGTAGACACCGCCAAAGCAAAATCCACGTAAGAACGGGAAGAAAACACCCATTGAGGGAACTCCGAAGCAAGAGGTTTGGACGACACAGCTGGAGACAGGCCACGAAGTCCCACTCACCTATTCCCCAAAACTACGTTCTTCCTTTACTTTTCTCCTCTCTCTCCCCCCCCCCACCCTCTCCTCTCTCCCCCCCACCCACGGGAATCTTGGTTTCTACATTGCAAACCAGTTTTAGGGTTTCTCGATCCATTTTCTTCGATTCTCCGTTTCGTCTACCTTCCTTGGCTGATCAAGATTCTTCTCTTTGTAAGCTCTTCGTCGGTCAATCTTTTCCCTCATTCTTTTTTTTTTGGGGGACTTTTCCCCTTGTTTGGTATTGTTGCGATTATCGATTTCTATAATTTTTTTATGATATCCGATGACATTTTGGCATAGTGATTGTACTGCATGCACTATCGACGACAATGAATTTTAGGAAGTTGGATTATTATTTGTGTTCATATGTGTATTTTCAAGATGCCTGGATTTGTCTAATTGATTGGCTGGAGTCCGTATTTTTTTTCTAATTTTAATAATTTGTAGTTAATGATAGGGCAATTTAACAAAAAGAAATGTATAGATTTTGCAACGTTTGTTAATTATTTTAAAGCTAGAGTCTTTAGCTTATCATTCTTTACGCATCTCAATAAATCAGAGTTTTCAAAAATCATAAGAACTACATTCCCAACAACTCTCATTAGCGTGAAATCAGCTAGTCCTTTGGCTTGTATTTGGTTAGCAAGATTATCAATTTTGATAAAGTTATTGCACCATCCCACAACACTTAAAGTTTATCTTCGTCCACAACACCCTCAACTTCACAATGTTTAATCCTCGGAGAATCTTCCATCTCAAACTTACTCTGAACAACTGTAGAGTACTTTCGCTAGTAAGATTGTTGGGGTTTATATTTAGCCAAAGAGACTTTAATTTTGTTGCCGTAAATATGAATGCCATTCATGTTTAATATCGCTTTCCTTGATTCTTCAATAGTTGCAAAGCGAATGAACCCAAAGTGACCTCCTGTCGAATTCCTTTTGATAGGAATGAAGGCATCAATAACATGACTGTAGGTGCAAAATAGAGATCCGAGTCTCTTTCAATGGATCTTCTCCGGTAGGTTCTCAATGAATAACGAGACACATCCACTTCTACACCCATTACTACCATTTGAATTACCTTCCTTCCACCAATTTTGAAATCCGTTTCTCCTCCTTTTCGCAACTTCAGAAGGTTTTCCATTGGAGTACCCCTTTGTGGTGCTCTCCTTGATTCCACGGTGATCAACATCTGCTTCAGAAAGGGCTGGTGCTACCTCTGCTGGAAGAGACTTCTCAGTCCTAAGATTCCCACCTTGTGGAGGGAATCTTTCATTGTCGTCAATCCTTACAATAGGTGGTTGACAGTCTAAAGTTGCTTTAGCAGAGCAATTTTTCAAATGCCTGGTTGATAAAGGACTATCACCCGACCTCGCTGAATTTACTCTTACATTTTTTCTGATTTTGGGGCGTAGAAGACTGCCTGTAGGTGGTGTCGTCGGCCTCTACTGTTCAACCTGCCTCACGTGCCAAGGCGGCCAAAACATCGTTCATATTTGAACGCTCGGAAAGATGGAAATTACCATATTGCCTCAATCCGGCCAGCATACGTCTGGTGAAGGCTCTTCTATTCCGTTTCCGAAACTTTGTCCTCTCCTTTTCATTCTCCCTCTCACGTTTTTCCTTGCCGGAGTAGGAAAAAGAGGTTGCATTAACTGGCCCAAAAGATGTACTAGTGGGGTTCAGAACAGCAGCACCTGCCGCGACTGTTGCAGCAAGCCCACTAGTTCGCCTGTGTTGAGACAGGCGTATGGGTTTCATGGTAAGATCTGGGAAGCTGGAAAGGAGTAAAAACAGAAGGTTTGGAGGCTGGGTAAATATCAAGCCGAACCAGTTCAGAGGAGATAGAACCAATTCTCGACACAATAGAAGGGGGGTTTTTGTCGCGAGAAGGAGCTTAGTCCGGTGGTGAGGCGGTGACGACCACGAGCGGCGGGAAGTGGCGTAAAACGGCGATGTACTTCGTGAAGATCTGCGTCGATTTGAGTGTCTCAATCGCAAATCTAAGGCCAGATTTGGAATCCCCGTGGGCCGGTGAACTTCCCAGGAAAAAAACAGCTTCAAACGGTGGTTGGAGATGGCGGCGGCAGACGGCGGTCGGCGACAGCGGACAACGGGTGGATGACGGTGGCGAAAGAAATTAAAAAACGCATGGGCTCTAGAGAGAAGCGAGACCTTCTCTCACATCCCTATCAGCCTTTTTTTTGATCTAATGATAATTCTCTATTAGTTTCAGAATTCATTTATTTGACAGTAGATTAATATTCTTGTTACACAAGTGACGATACAGGCAGTGCTGACGGTAATTTTGTCCACCTTTGCTTATTGTCGGCATATTGATTAAAACATATCTGGATGCTTTAGTTGAACACCTGCCTATGATCTGTTATGGTATGATTCATTTGGTCAGATATTGCTTATTAGGAAGCAACTTATTGCCAATCTCCAAATGATTTGAAGTGTTGATTTTGATTTGCTAATCATGTAGACTGCAATTATTTGCTGAATTTTAACATCTTATTTGTACCTCATATTTATATTAATATATTATCTTCTGCTCAATCGTTGTTACTTTTGCTTTGATGATGTGGAAACTAATGGCCTCTTGTGTTTTCTGTTGTTGTCTCAAATGTTTAATTAAGATATGTAAGAATATTTTCCGAGTGACATGAGACATAAATATTGATGCACATGACATCAAATACTTGTGTCTTTCCTAATTCTTTTTGTAAATGAGTCTGTCATTGCTGTTGGTTTTTATGGGGTGAGTCTGCACCAGCAAAACTCGATATATCTGCTGCATGTTCTGAGTAATCAATTTGATATGTTTATTGCCATCAGCATTTAAACACGGATGGTTTTTTTTACGAGAATCTGCCTATTAGGTGGTTCTCATAAAAATGCTCTGCCTTTCTTTGTGATATTTGGTCATATGCATCTAAAAATGTTCTGCTTTTATTACAAGTTTCTATAAAATTGGAGGTCTAGCACTTTTTCTTTTATAGGAGCAGGTGTGTGGCACAAGGCGGTGGTTTTTATTAAACTGTTATTCATGCTATGGAAATCTTTGTTCTGTTGTTATAAGAGTTTTCTTCATGATATTTTTGGTTAATTGTTGATTTGTTCCCTTTACACTGCAGGTTATTGGACAAATAATTGAAATTTGAGCTAATCCTTCAAGTTAGTGGTTGAAACAGCAGTCTAAATTTGACACTTGTAAGGTTTGAATCAGTTTTTTGCATTAAATACATGAATATGGTAGGCAGGCAAGGAGATATGGATTAATTAATGATGCCACCTTAATCATCTTTGCACATAGTTCCAGTAATAATTCCTTGATAGCTTCGAGATATAATTCTCAGAAGGCTGTTTGTGGGCTATCAGAGGATCCTTTGTATCCATGCTGGCTGAGAGTATGCGTGGAATCTGTGTTTCGGGTAATGCCCCTGAAGAGATATTCTGCCGAAGCATTCGGTGCGTTGACAATTTGTCTAGTTGCTCTGTTGGTTCTTCTTGGTTTGGTGTGCATTGCATACTTGCTTTATGTGCGTTCACGTGTTCTTAGACAAGGATTCATTCAGCTTAGCTATTTCAATGGGCCTTGCATCATTCGAATCACGTTCATTTTGTTCACCATCTGGTGGGGTTTCGGTGAAATTATACGGCTAAATTTTCTAAGACGACAAGGAAGAGTGTTGAATGCACTCAATTTCAAATGGCAAGAAAACATTTGCAAATGTTACATAGTGTCAAATTTAGGTTTTGCGGAACCTTGCATGTTCCTCACTCTCGTTTTTCTTCTTCGAGCTCCTTTACAGAATATAGACACTGGCATTCTGAGCAGAAAATGGAATGGGAAAACAGCGGGCTATATTATTCTCTACTGCCTCCCTGTGTTTGTTCTTCAACTTATTCTCATTTTGATTGCACCAGATTTACGGAAGGATAGAAGAGAATTATCACCATATTTCACAAGGGTTGTTGTTCAAGTGATGCAGAATTCTGATGACATCGCTCTTTGCACTTACCCTTTATTGAATACTATTCTTCTAGGGCTTTTTGCCACCATCGTGACCATCTACTTGTTTTGGCTTGGAAGGCGGATTTTGCAATTGGTTATCAATAGGGGTTTGCGGAGGAGAGTTTACACATTAATTTTCTCGGTCTTGTGTTTACTTCAATTAAGGGTTGTTTTACTTGGACTATCTGTTTTATCTAAACCAGAACAATTTCTGTTTGAAGCTCTTGCCTTCTCAGCTTTTCTTGCCCAACTATGTTGTGCTGGTGTCTGCATTTGCATACTTGTCTGCTACCCGGTCAAGGACTGTCTAGTCCTGAGGAACCTTCATGACTTGGAAGCTAGGCGAAGGGCTTTTCTCGATGTTCAAAATGACACTGTTTCTCTCATCCCTATTCAGAGCCACCCAGAAGGAAGTTCAGGAATTAGCAGCGAGAGGAGTTTTGATGCCTCTACCTCAACTGGGGCATTCGTGGAACTGAGCCGCATCTCCCCTAGCTGAGAATGCTATCCCACCAGCACCACCTCTTTGTGGCCATGGACCATCGAGTAAGTAAACAAGAAGAAGCCAAGTAGTTTTTCTTTTTCTTCTAAATTCAGATACGATGGTTTTGCTGGATGCAACCTATAACCCGAAGCCCCTTTTGTAACATAATTTTTAACCTGTATCCATTGTGTTCAAATTTACAAATTCTTTTGCTATGTTGGTATGGTAAATTTACAAATGTGTTGAAAAATATTCGTCATGGACTGCTGTTGTGGTGGAGGAATGGTAATTATGAGCTGCATTATAAATTTGGAATTCAATCATCAATATAAATAAAATATTAAGTATTAAATTATATAAAAATTTAAAATTTTTAGATTGAATTTCGGTATTCCTTGATCCATAATTGTTGAAACTGTTGTATGTATTCTCTTGTGATCAAAGTAAATTTAAGATTTAAAACTTAATATTTTTCCTTTTTTATATTAATTTTAAATTTAATTTTTTTAATGATATCATAATTTAAGATCATGATGTGCCTAAAGTGTAGGAACCAAATTTTAGTTAAAAGATTAATATAAGCTAAAAGTTTAGGAACCAAATTAAGGATTAAAAGTTGGTTTACAATGTTTTATAAGCCTAAAGTGTATGATACCACCATAAGCGTCAACCAATAGTCGGCGTTACGCAAATTCAACTCTTTGAAAAGGCAAAAGAAAAAGAAATGGTTTCTCGACCAGTCAGATTTTTCATAATCATTTTTCCAAAAAAAAATGTTCAATAATCGATTTCCTATTGTACACACCATAATTGATATTTTAAGTACTATTGATTTTTAAAATAATTTTATGGTAGAAATTTTAACTCCCTTATGAAAAGGGTATTTTTTTTCTAAAGAATTTTTCTCGAGTGGCATTTACTTAAATAATAAAAAACATTAGACAAATTGACTGAATAAGTATTAAAATGAAGACTCCCCCTTTTATCCTTTTCCTTATAATTTGTATCATTTTTTTTATAGATTAAATCAACTTTTTTTATTTATAATTTTGTTTAGTCGGCGATAAAATCGATTTTGATGCTGGTTGTCAACCGTCAGTTGTTTTTTATCTTTTCTTTTTTTAATTCTTTAATAAGAATAAGGAGTTGTTTGTTTGCCTCTTAATGGAATCATTCAACACTGAATGTTGAACCGTTCAACACTGAATGTTGAACCGTTCAACACTGAATGTTGAACCGTTCAACATTCAGCGCGTTTGTTTCGCACCTCTGAATGATTCAGTGCTGACTGATTAAGCAAAACAATGTTGAATGATTCAGCACAGAAGTACATTCTGAATGATTTAGAGCCATTATCAAAAAGCATGTCACATTCAGAGCTAATTCATACAGAGCCTCTGAATCATTCAACATTTGAATCATTCAGCGCTTAATCATTCTGAAGTAAACAAACAACCCCTAAGTATGTCTTTGAGGCACATTTATCTCTGTCTTTTGATGGTTTTTGATTATTTGGCTGTTATTTTCGTTTATTTTTTCCTCAGGGTTGCGGTTGAATCGTCTCGACTGATCAAGATGACACTTATTTATTATTATTCTGATCTTCCCTGCTTTGGACCCTTAGATTGATTCGGATATGCATTTTGAGTTTGTGAATAATTTTTTCACGTCACTTTACTCTGATTTGAAATTTGTCGATGGTCTTTCAATAGTTTCATCCATTTTTATGGTTCGTTTACCGATGCAGACAGTTTTGTTCATATATTTATTTTGTTCGAGCTTTTTGGTTAGGTTTTGAACTTTTTATTTATTTGGTCCTTGTGTGATCTAGGTGACTATTTTTTTTGTCAATGGTTATAGGAAAAATGTCCTACGTATATTTTAGTTTATGTTTACGGTTATGTTTGTAAATCTTCATTGTAATTCTAGTTATTTTCGATTTTTAATAAAACTAGCAACTTTCTATCAAAAAATGAAAAAACAATAGGTATCAAAATTAGAAGATGGATATAGTTTGGGGTGCTAGATTGAGTATTAAGCCTAACAATAATGTATTAGCCTAACAATAATGTATTAGACTAACAAAGATTGGGTGTTTTGGTCATTTCGCCATTTAAATGTCGATTTGTCTTAACATGTGGCGCCGGCGCGTGATTATTGGAATCACGTGCTTGCATAAAGCTCCACCGCTGATCCTTCTGTATACCAAACCTTTGAAGAACAAGAAGGCTTTGATTAGTAAAGGAAAAACCCTAAATCGAAGTCAAAAGCAATGGCCTCATTCGAGCAAGCGCCGCCAGGTCTTGATCTTCTCCCAGTGCCACACCGTGGAAAATACGCCGGACACAAGCAAGTTCGATCCCTCTCTGCCTCTCTCAGATCTGATTTTGTTCTTCTTTGGTTAGAATTATTCTTTTATAAGTTCTTGATTTTGTGCTTTTAGTAACGAGTAATACAACTCTCTCTAATTTAATCCGTGTTGATGTCTTTTAAATTGTTTGTAAGAATTAATTGTTTAGTTTATTGTTCTCAGATTCATTAACTTTTTACTTCGTATACATAAATTGATCCATGTTTCTTTTAAATTGTAAGAATTATTTGGTTTGAATTTAGAAAGAAAAATATAAATCTTAAGTTCCTAGGTTAGGTATGTTACTTAGGTTTGCATTGAAACAATGTGATTCACACTGATTTCTATGTTAATACAGATCTCTTCTTGATTCAATTTTATGTCTTCATTTTTACTACATTTTTTTAAGTTTAGGGAAAAATGTGTTGAGATTTGTTAAATTTGCAGGGCCAAACCTGAATGGGCTTTTTGGGAGGCAATCCGACACAACTCCAGGGTACTCTTATTCCGCTGCTAACAAAAATATTTTTGGGAAAAATATGACTACTTGCTTAATCCTAGGAAGGTATGTAGGAGTCTTTTTCCCCCCAGTATAATGTTATCAATTTTGCTTGTTATTTTAAGTTCTTAGCTTCTCCATATATTCTGTGACTGTGTGTTCATTGTATGGATGATGTCATGATTTTGAAATACAGCATGAACCATAATTTATTGATTTCTTTATCGAACGCTGCAGCTTATCCTTTGGACTTTCATTTGGGACCATGTGTTTAGAGGCTCAATTATTCGTTTGTAATATCTGCTAATCATGTGATTCAAAATAGCGTGAAAAAGTGTATCTCTATTTTATATAGGATTAGTGGCACTGTGTGCTATGTTCAAACCAACCTGAGAAACAGATGACATGGAAGCGGTCGATATGGTTACCTTGTTGGCTGCACAATGTTAATAATAGCTTGTTACTGGTCGTCGTCCATTAGTGCCGTAAATGACAGCTAACATTAAGGCGCCCAAGGGTTTTTATCCGTGGGAAAGTTTTTACTTTAACATAATATGTACGAAGGATGAGCATAATTTGGGGTCTTAAGAAATCATCTAGTGATGCTATTGTTTTTCATCAAAAGTTAATTTCTTATGAGACCTGTAGTCTAGTCACTGCTGTTGATTTCCATCATAGGTAAGCCATCTGGGTAATTAATCTCATTTCAGGATGATATCTTTTTATGCATATTCACTGTTGTTCATCATTGCTTTAAATCAACTATTACCATGTTTGCATTTCGGTGGCCTTATGCTTTTGGTGTTATTAACCAGTCTTAGTCTAGGCACGTAGTAGATGTATCTATGCTAGGATAGTATTCTCATTTCAGGATGATATCTTTTTATGCATATTCACTGTTGTTCATCATTGCTTTAAATCAACTATTACCATGTTTGCATTTCGGTGGCCTTATGCTTTTGGTGTTATTAACCGGTCTTAGAGTAGGCACGTAGTAGATGTATCTATGCTAGGATAGTTGATTTGGCTTGATTTGAATCTTGGTTTTGCGAGAAAAATACTTTCTCATATTCAGCCGACCATTGTTATTCGCCTTAAGCATAGAATTCATTGCTGAATTGTTACTTATTCTATTTGCTGGTTAAATTTGCTTGTGCAGTACATTCCTGGGATAAAGATGGTTTTCCCTGGATTGAAGAAGCCACAGATCGTGCTGACCTTATTGCTTATCTGAAGGAATCAACTGCCTGATGGGCTCTGCTTATATATATCAGCTATTTTGGAACAAAGGAAGAGTTTTGCTCAACGATTTATTTACTTTTACATGAAAATAAAGAGAGAAAACCGTCAACAGCTCCAAGATAATCTGGGTTTTGGAGTAGAAAGGTTTCGACTACGATCAACTTCATTAAAAGGCGAGGCCTTTAAAATTTTCATGAAACATTGATGATTTATTCGAGCCCCAACAGTTTGTTATGATATCTTAATTCTTGATGAGATTTGGATGATGGATAATCGGTGGATTTACATGGTAGGTGTAGTGCAAATATTGGTTTAGGCGTTGATGAATGCTTTTTAATTTGGTTTTTAGGTTTCTTACAATAAGTAGCAATTGATACATCTACAACACTCAAGGAACGGTGATACTTAAGTATAGGGATGGACAGGGATGGACGAATGATTTTATGTTTATAATATTTTAGGAGATAAATTTATAAAATTTTAAGAATCTAAAAACAAATTAATTTTAGAAAATAAAAAAGATATTTAAAAATATGACAATTTAATTATCTCTAGAGACGATTGCCCCTGAGCACTCATCTGTTTAAGGATAGAAACAACAACAAAATCCTATTCTCATATGCAATTGGATAAGGGGGAGGTAGGGTAGTAGGCTGCCCTCAACGCCAGGTTGATAGCAGCTTTCGTGGAAGACATCCGACAGTCAGAAAATTAAAAATAAAGATAAAATACAATGCATGTATAAATAAATAAATAAATATATAATTGAACAGTATTCATATGCGCTTCTGTAATGGGAAGTAATCCCTGCAAATAAATCATTGCGTAAAAATCTCTGCATATAAACAGAAACGTAAATCTCAGCTAAATTTAAAAAGAGAAAACATGAAGAGAAGGATGCACGCACAGAAGTCAGCGATAGTAAACTACGAGAAGGAATAAAGTTAAATGAGTTAAAAACCTAAACTAAGGCAACACTACTCCGTTACCATAGTTCTAAGCTTTCATAATTTCTAATGACAGACACGTATAAAAAGTAGAAGTCATGGAAAATTACTATAAATGCATTAAAAAGAAGACATAGATGTTACATCCTATGGCTGTGACTCACACTACTCGGCTACTCTGGTCTTAAGTCTCCATACTTTTCTATCAGAGGTCGTGTCCT